GTAGGGGGAAAAAGGGTGCAGAGAGAAGCCTGAAAAGGCCTCTACAGGGCCCCGGAGAGCTCCCAGGTGCTGGAGAGGGGGAGACAGGCTCACAGGCAGGCCTGGGGACCCCTGCAGAACCCACAGCTGCTGCTGGGTATCGACATGGAGGTTTGGCAGTCCGCCTTTCAGCACCCAAACTACAGATTCTCTCTGCTCTAATAAGCCATTATCCCTCCAAACTCTTTGCTTACGGCCATACCACCCTGAGCGCGCCCGAGAGCAGTCGCATGTGAATGAGCAGGAGGAGCTACAGGATTGTGTGCTGAATGGCGGAGTAATCTACGGATTAAAAGGTTTCTTGTGGATTATCGACTGGATATTTTTGAGTGTTTAATCATCCCCCGGTACAGCGAAGCTGGCTGGGGGGCTTTCACGGGCCGGGATGGCCAGGACCGGCGAAAGTGAAGACGTGCATTCTGGAATGCGAGCAGCGGCTCAGGAGAATGAGGAAGTGGAGGAGGAGATATTAACGGCGGAGAAAACAGAAAGAATGGAGGTGAAAAACAAGGAGAAGAAAGAGAAGGGGCTAAAGAGTAAAGCAGTGAAGATACATGTGGAAGAAAGTGAAGGATTTGAGCGGATAAAGACTCGAGCGTGGACGGAAGGCACCGCTGCGGCTGCTGCAGCAGCAACAGCTGTTAGCATGGTAGCAGGCGAGGAGAAAGCTAGCGAGAAGGGTGGACAAAGGGAGCTAACGCTGAAGAAGAGACTGGAAGTAAGGAGGGAAAAGAGAGACCAGAGGGAGATACAGAAGAAGGTAATGGAGGAGGAGGTGGAAGAGAATGAAAGAGTGGGATAGTTAAAAGCCGGTCAGGAGAAGGCAGGCCTCGCGGCAGCAGCGTTAGCTGCTAGCATAGCAGCGGAGGAGATGAGAGACGTTGAGAAGAGCCCCGCAGCATCAGCAGTGAGCAGAGCAGCGGAGGAGAAGAAAGACACTGAGAAGGGCCCGGCTAAAGCGACGAAAGCAGCGTTAGCAGTGGGTGAGGAGAGGGACATTGAGGAGAGCCCCGCTGGGAAAGCTAATGCTGCAGCAGCAGTGAGCATAGCAGCGGAGGAGGAGAAAGCCGGCGAGAAGGACAAGCAGGACCCGGGGGAAGGGACGTCTGGGTGGAAGCCAAACATTGATGGAGCAGGCCCGAAAAGGAGCAGCGGAGATGAGGAGGCAGACGGGGAGAGACGCCAGAATGCGGGAAGGAGAGAAGGAAAAGGGAAAATCGACGGGGGAAACAACGGAGAAAGGAAGAGGGACGATGAAAAGAAGGAAAGAGGAGAGAGAGCGGCGGAAGGAGGAAGAGAGAAAGACGAAGACGAAGTGGAATATCTGGTGGAGAGGACACTTCAAGTCAACGTGGAGGGTGGAGTAAAACATTTATCAATGGATTTGTTGGGGGGGATTCAGGAAATGTGTGGGAGAGTGTTGGGGTGCAGGGTAAAAGGGGAAAGGGTGTATGAAATAACTATGCACACGTGGGAAGGTAAAGAAGCATTATTAGAAGGTGGTCCTCTTCCTCAGATTCTTCCTCATCAGTGGATTCTTCCACTTCCTCAAAATAAGTGCGGTCCTCCACTTCTGACACTTCTTCCATTTCTGATTCTACCTCTTCATATTCATTTCCCTCCATTTCAAAACCTTCTTCCATTTCAGAAGCGGGCGATGTGGGGGCTTCTTCAGAGGAAGAATTTGGTCTGTAACTTACATCGATCACCTCTTCATGAGTTTCCTCCTCTTCTGACCCTGAATCCTCCATCGGTTGATTTTTCCTCCATAACACGGTTGAAGATTAGCTTATGAACCTCCTCCACAGTCAAATGTTTCTGCCTCCTCATTTTGCTGCCTGTCTCTCTCAGAATAAAATGTGAAATGCCCCAGCAACTAGGGGTGGGCGGATCAATCCCAAAATATCGATACCTCCGATATTACGTTACGTTTTCAAAATATCGATATTAGAGCCAATAGGATCGATACTGTTATACTTTTTTTCTCGTCTCCTCTACTCGTCAATTTCTCCAAAAAACTATGTGCAGACGAACACAAGTATATGCTCTTTTCTTCTCTCTCCACTGCTGTCCTCTTCTCCTCGAGGCTCCCTGCCTGAACGCCGATTATCAAGCTGACTGACAGCAGCCAGCAGGGCAGGACAGCAGCAGCCAGCGACTCGCGAGTGCAACACACACACGCGCATGATGGCTGAGAGAAAGAGCAGCGTTGTGTGGAGCAATTTCACAACTGGCCATTAAAACTTAGCGAACTGTGATGTGTGCAAGAAGACAGTTCGCTACTTTGGCCACTTTGTATTGTTATTTTTCATGTTTGCACTTTAAATTTGCAAAAGTAAAACGTGTATTTGTCTATAAAAACTGTCCTGTTCATGAAAATGAATTCAGATTTAGTCTGATGATTTCAGCTCAAAAATCATGTCATGCCCCCCAAATCCCCCCATTTAAGCTCTCCAGGGGCGTGATGTTCTGGTTCTGGTTCTGGTGGTGTGCATGGAGGGGTTTAGTCCGCGTGAGGAGTGCTCAAGTGTGGGAGGATGTGTAAGGCAGAGGAGGGTAAAAAAAAAGTTAAAGTGTGAACCTCCAGCAGGGCAGGTGGTGCTGCGGTGAATAAGGCCGAATATGGATGCCGATGTGCGTACGGTAAAGCACCGCAAAATACACCCCCTTATAGGTTACCAGGGCCATGAGAACATCCAGTACAGGAGGGTGGGTGCTGCTGTGAATAAGGCCGACTATGGATGCCGATGTGCGGACTGTAAAGCACCGCAAAATACACCCCCTTATAGGTTACCAGGGCCATGAGAACATCCGGTACAGGAGGGTGGGTGCTGCTGTGAATAAGGCCGACTATGGATGCCGATGTGCGGACTGTAAAGCACCGCAAAATACACCCCCTTATAGGTTACCAGGGCCATGAGAACATCCGGTACAGGAGGGTGGGTGGTGCTGCTGTGAATAAGTCCGACTATGGATGCCGATGTGCGGACTGTAAAGCACCGCAAAATACACCCCCTATATGAAAGTACATAAGACGCTTTTCATTAAAAAAAGTATCGGTATCAATATCGGTATCGGTATCGGCGATACTGGCCCTGAAATACTTGGTATCGGATCGAATCCAGATTTTGTGGTATCGCCCACCCCTACCAGCAACCGCTCACCTGCTCACCGTGACATACGGAGGCTTCACGAAAGTTACATGGGAGATAAGCCCCTCCTACACCTCTATATAAACAGCGTGTGGAAGCCCTTTCCGGCTCACTCTGTCCTGATGCAGGGAATGCATCTCTCTTGCTCACGCGTATAGCTGCATATCCTCCTGAATGCTGAAAACTCACACGCACAGCTACATGTTCCGATAATACACACTGCTTGGATTTGATCACCTTGCAGGGCTATCCTGGGGGAGATTGTTTAGTTAATAAGCCGAAACAATCAGACTCCTGGGATTACTACTGGAGATGTGTATTATAATTGTTACATGTGAGTGATAGTAAAAACACTACTATGATAGCTATCACTCAACGTCATTTCATTTTTCTTGGGGTCTAAGTTGGGAGTTGGATCTGCCTCGGTGGAGAGCAAGGATGGCCAGTGCATTCAGTCCTGTAGCCGTCTTGGCAGCAGGATTCAAACCCTTTCTTCCCTGACTCAGCGAGTGCCCCATGTTCTCATTTCTGTGGCAGGTTTGCTCTCTGGTGGCCCCTTATAATTCACTGCCTGATACTCTCTCCCCCTCATTATAATTATAATCCTAACCATCAAACCCTTTCCAGGTCGTAACCTAAAATGGACGCCCACGTGCTTACTCCTCCTCATGCCTTAAGACTAAAATGGCGGCCCAAAAGTAACAGCCCTGCACGAGAAACGGGAGCCCGCTTCCAGCGTGATATGCTGGCAGAGGACCGCTACGGCTAAACCCCCCGATTACTCTGCCAATGCAACGTTTGTAAAATAGCCGGACCCCCCGGTTGTTTCTTTGTATTGTAGATGGGCGTGTTATCTCGTTGATTGCGGGATGGCAAGGACCACCAGCCTGCATTATCTGAAGAACGTTAGGCAGTTCCTGGTTTACGTGAAGGAGACCCCACCTAAAACCTCGTGCCTCGGCCAGAAAGATCTGGTGATGGGTGACAGGTATCTGAAGAGTGTGATAAAGGGATGGAACCGCCATGTTATCCATCACCAGATGAGCGTGTAAGGACGCGATTATGCACACGGCGGTGGAGCTCCAACAGTGCCGCAGATTGGCACTGTTGGCCATCCCCAAACTGCGCTGTAAGTTATAATACATATGTTATAATTAACAGGGTGATGTAGCAATTCAAATAAATTGATGAAATAACACATTCTATTTCCCTTGTCATTGCAGCAAAACTGGAACATCAACACACAAATTCGAGCCTGTGGAAGCTGCAGGGGTACGCGGCTGCCTACCTGGCCTCCCTCTATGGGCACCGCCTGGGAGTGTTCATCAACATGACGGACCTTGAGGTCAGCGAGGCAGTTCACGGCGATAAAGATGACTACTTGCTCAACGTAAACACTTGATTTCTCCTATTTTTTAAAAGTACATTCAAGCCACATTCCTTGTCTGTGTAAACTTAATTGTCATTCTGATTCTGAATAGATGACACACCACAAGAAAAGGGCCCAGGAGGAGGAGGAGGCGGAGGAGGCGGGGATGAAGAAGAGAACCCCAAGGGTGACCAGGAGCCATGCAGACTTAAACAAGGTAGTCAAAATGTCACAATTCCCAAAAAAAATTGTAAAATATAACATTGAAGATTTAGATTTTCTTTGAGATTAAAAACTTTTAAAATACCACAATATGACTATGTATGAATCCCAACGTGACAAGTTAATTAAAATGTGCTTTATATTTTGTGTGCCAACAGAGAAGGTGCCGGATTATGCTGTCGCCACTCAAAAGAACCAGCCCATGCAAAAGGCCTCAGCACCTAAGACCCCGGCGCAGTCGGAAGGGGACACCGCGGAAACGTTTTCCATGAATGTGTTCTTGTCCGTAAATGTTTGTAAATATTTGTTGTTATTTAATGTTCGTAAATGTTCCTTGTTGTTATTTAATGTTCAGAAATTATTGTTATTTAATAGTGTATGTTTAAATAAATGTTTTCAATTGTTCAAAGTAGTATTCTGGTAATTTCTTTATGGTTCTGCTAAGTCATGTTGTGTCTAGCTCTGATACACACATATATGCAGTGGGTTTTAATATTAAATAATATTTATAAGTGGTTTATTATAATCACATTATTATATTTAATAATTCCAAAATAATAATAATAGTTATTATAACTATTAAAGTTATTATCTCTTAATTCAACTAATCATCCAATTCAAAAACTGAGTGCCAAGTGCAATAATCGAACCCTGCTCTCTCACACCAAAGGGCATCATCATCACCTGTGCTTAGGTCTCCAGGGAAAGCAACCAAACGGTTATCATTTGCCTCGTCTGCACTGTAAGATTGATTGCCTCTCTGCTCCTCCGGCACAGCACACACAACTTTGGGGGACTGCTGAGTAAACGTACCCTGGGTGGCAATTTGTCCTTTCTCTCGCTTTCCTTTGGCACGCAGGCGCTTGTATAGTGGGCAGCCTCGCCCCACCAAGACTGGGACTGGTAGGGAAGGAACCACCCCCACTTTCAGCTCACAGCTGCCTTTAACTGTGGTAAGGTGGATGAGGCAAGTGGGGTATAATTTAGTGTCCCCATGGACACAGGAGACGGGCACAGTCTCTTCAGATACGTTAACTGTATTATACATGTTTTTGCCCACCAGTCTCGTCCATAGATATAAAATAGGAGTAGAACAGACATTCACATTCAAATCAACGTAGCAGGATAATGGATGTATTATATTTTAAGATAATGCAGGATGGTCAGAGCGGCGGCCATTTGTATGTGTACCGTTGCCATAGCGGCAGTTGTAGCGGGCTGACCATATAAATAGAATATGAGTATAGTAGTATACTCGTATTCTATTTCTATGGGCTCGTTATTTGTATGACGTTCGCTCGATAGAGCAATCATTTGATTTTACGTTCGCTCAAGTAATTCACCTTAGGCCTTCTTCGACCGATCTCCTCTGAATTGTGCGGGATGACACACCAAACAGATCGGCGATTTCTTGGGTTGATAGACCAGACAACACATAGGTAGCAAGCATATCGCCTGGAATATCCAGAGGCGGGCGTCCTGCACCTGTGCTTGAACCAACTTCTTGGACATCTTCCACATGAACACGGTGCTCAATCAGTGTCAATGTATTTAAAACTTTGCCATCCGTGTGGATATCTCGAAGAGCACTTATCCGAAAAAGTCTTCAATATCGGCCAACATAGTATCTGTTGGTAAACCGTGTGGATCAATTTGATTTGCTAAGGATAACATAGCATCTTGGAGCCCACCGACGTCTTCCATGTTGTCTGCCCCGCCTTATTTTCATTTAGTAGTTTGCCTTATTTTTATTCAGTAGTCCTTCTCCTCCTTTTTCTTCCTCTTCTCGAGTAGTCAGTGTGCTGCTGTTGCTTTGGTCTGGATCTCTGGATCAGTGAGCTAACCATGCCCTGTTCATTTGCATACAAGAAATGGAAATGTGTCATTATGAAATAAAAGTCCCATGAAATAAATAAACGTGTATTTAAATGTACATGTATACATATTTATTGCCTCGTTTATTTATTTCAGAATTTATTTCATTGTCATATTTATTTATATATGTATTTATTAAATCATTTATGTATTTATTTAATTTTGGCTTAAATGGCATTCCATATTGATTTAACTCCATTTAGCTCACCTCCCTTTGCCTGTCCGTCCGTCAGTGGTTCATCAGCCGAAAAGATCTGCGTACCCGTTACTCTGTAGGTCATGTCACTGTCACATGGTCACTGTCACATCGCTTTAAAAAAACGGATTCGTCCGCCGCTTAGCTTTTCGTAGTCATCAATCTGTCCGGTTGAAGTTCTTCTTTTGATAATGGCGAATCGAAACACAGTGGTTCACTTGCTGTATATCGTAAAAATAAACACTCATGTCCCTGTTAAATGCCTTCAATGAATGAAAACAACTACACTGAACAAAAATATAAACGCAAGACTTTTGTTTTTGCTCCCATTTTTCATGAGATGAACTCAAAGATCTAAAACATTGTCTATATACACAAAATAACCATTTCTCTCAAATATTGTTCACAAATCTGAAAAAATCTGTGATAGTGAGCACTTCTCCTTTGCCGAGATAATCCATCCCACCGCACAGGTGTGGCATATCAAGATGCTGATTAGACAGCATGATTATTGCACAGGTGTGCCTTAGGCTGGCCACAATAAAAGGCCACTCTGAAATGTTCAGTTTTATAACACAGCACAATGCCAGAGATGACGTAAGTTTTGAGGGAGCGTGCAATTGACATGCTGACAGCAGCAAGGGTTAAGATGGAGCACCTGTTCAGTGGGAAACGACATGCTGCCAAATCAGCCTGGGAGTAAGTACACCTATATTTGTCTGATATGTTTTAATAAATGTGCATGGTGAATTAAGATAATGTGTAACTAATGGCAGGTTGTTAAAGAGATGGGTCTGGAGGGCCAGGTGACTAGTCCACAGACCGCAAATAAATGGGACAACCTGAAAACAAAATACAAGGTAAAGCAAATCACATGGCTAGGCACTGTGGTGGGTTAGTGTTTGTAGATATTATGCTACAGACTTAAATTGGCGACCCCCGCCTCCTATATTAAAATGTGAATTTGCTTAGTTGTTTACACTTTTTAACATTTAAGGCGTAAGCAATTACACATTTAGAATTAGTAAAACATTTAGTTTGCTGTGCATTTAAATACTATCAAAGCACTCATATACTAACAAAGGAGTGGCTTATCTAAAGCCCTCACTGCCCTTTAACTAACAGTCTGGTATCTGTGTTGTCAATAGGAGTTAAAGAATCCCCCAACTGGGACAGGAACAGACGGGGGAGAAGCCTCAGCAGCTACCTGGCCATGGTTTGAGGCCATGCATGAGGTAATTGGGGGAAGGCCATCAATTCAGCCTCCCAGCCTAGTTGTCAAGCCATGGCCAGACTGCTGCTGAGGCCTCCACCTCTGCTGAAGAAGGGCCTTCCCAAGTGTCCCTCAGCAGTGAGGAGGAGCCCGTGCCCTCCACCAGCTCCCAACCACCAACTAAAAGGCCAAGGCGAAGAAGCAGCGGTTTGGCCTTCCTGAAAAAGCAGGCAGAGAAGGACGAGGCCCGTGATGCAGCGCTCAATGAGCAGAATGAGCGACTTGGGAATTTAATTTCAGAGCTTGTGAAAAATAAAAATAAATGTTGAAGTTGTTGAAAACACTAAAGTGGAGTTCTTCAGTTGATGATTTGGATAACACTCAAACAGTGCTTCAATAAACAAGCACTTTACATAAAAGGGAAAATTGCCCACATGTCATAGCAGCTTGCACCACATGTCATAGCAGCTTTTTCAAATAAAATCCAACAGTTACTTTAGGCCATATTTTAATTCAACATGTTATACACTTAAGAATGGTGATATGTACAGCAATACATGTGTAGGTCTAACACGGTTTCCATCAATTGTTTTGTATGAAAAAGCTGTTTTTCAACAGTTGAGTAATTTCATGGTTTTGATGTGTTTCAGTCAGGCTTTCGACCTAACCACAGCACTGAGACTTCACTTAAGGTCTTAAATGACATCCATTTGAACACAGACAGTGGCAGAATATCAGTGTTAGTATTATTAGATCTCAGCGCTGCCTTTGACACTGTTGACCACAACATATTGCTAGATTGGGTGGGAGTTTCAGCAACAGCTCTAAACTGGTTTAGCTCCTACTTGAAGGACAGAACAAACTTTGTCTCAATAGGCAATTACAAATCAATCCTGATAAATATGTCATGCGGGGTTCCTCAAGGCTCCATCTTAGGACCTTTGCTTTTTAATATTTATATGCTACCTCTGGCTGAAAGAGCGATCTAAGCTATCACATCTATGCAGACGACACCCAGATTTATTTTAAAATTACACCGGGAGACTGTTCTCCGATTAGAACACTGAGCAAGTGCATTGAGCACATCACTGATTTGGATGACTCAGAACTTTCTCCAATTGAACAAACAAAAAACTGAGATCATTGTTTTTGGAGCAAAGAAAGACCGATTAAAAGTAATCGCAGAGCTTCAGTGGGCAGACTATAAATGATGACTTCCCTCTGGCAGGGAACACACAAGAGGTTTAAGAAAGGTGAGTAGAGTAGGACTAGAAATAGGTGTATGTGTATGTGTACTTACAAATATGGACCGGACAAAACATGATGCTGGAGCCGTCTGTTACAGGGCACACTGGACACTCATTGTAAGTCATCCAAAATGTTAATAGGTGTTAATCTGTGTGGTTCTTCTCGCGTCCAGGAAAGAGAAGCTTAAAAAGGAGACAAAATTGAGTCAAAATTGGTACTTTGATTAATAAAAAGCGTGGTAAAGTCACAAACAGGATATTGTTCGACAGAAAAGCAGCTGTCCTCTGGCTCTCGCTAGCAGAGAAAAGAGGCCGAACCCCTCAGGTCTCGCTGTTTATATATCCTCTGCTGGCTGGAGGATACAGACATTGTACATTCAATATATGGGCCATTCTACCGAATTTGTGCAAAGTGCAGTCCCACAACAAGAAAAACTATTTAACAAAACAATTAAGTATTCAGACATAGATATTTACTAAGAATATGTTATGTTCTATTAAACACAAGGCATTAAATTAGATAGTGATAAGCTTAATATATACAAAAACATCATTTATAGGGTACTTTCTATTGGGAAGTAGCTGTCCCCATCCCTGACATCTAAATTTCATGTTCTGTAAATAACACTTAAAACATTTTTTTAATTTTGTTCGATGGTGTATTTAGAAGATCTTTATGATTACATTCAAACAGAAGTCGGAATATTTAGATTTTATTGTGAGTTTAATTTTTTAATAAAAAAACTATACTCAAAAAATCATGTCCCCAGTTTTCATGTCACTACTGAAACACAAGGGGTTTTAGTCCAATGGCTGAGCCTGGT